ACACACACACACACACACACACACACACACACACACACACACACACACACACACACACACACACACACACACACACACACACACACACAGTGTCCTTTAGGAAGAAAAAACAGGAAATGAATCAAAGGATTATTGTTCCAGTTTTTGCCACCGGGGGGCGACAGATCATCAGCCTGAGATGGTGTTCACCAAAACCTGAATGTCGGCAGACGACAGTGAAAACGGTTTTTATTTAGAATTGATTTCCAGATATCGTGTGTCACCATCTTTTTCTTGTTCTCCACAGTTTTCTCCATCCAGCTCAGCTTCATGCTGCTCACGTTCACTTTTTCTGCCAGGTGAGTCTCCTCCTCTGTTTTCCATCCTCTCATCCTCTTTTACCTCTTCTGTTTTTCTCTTCACTCTTTCCTGAGAGAAAATGAGCGATTGAAGGAAACCACCGGTGTAAAGATGGAGGCTGTGAAAAAGAATCTGACTCGTGTTTGTCTCTTTTCAGGACCGGTTCAGGATTCAGTCCTGCAGACACTGTCGCCATCATCTTCTGCTCCACACACAAATCATTGACCCTGGGTAAACACAACAAACACAACACACACACACACACACACACACACACACACACAGTCTGTCAGAAGTGCCTGACCACTGGCGTGTCAGTCTCATCTGTCAATCATGACGTCTCAGCTTGTTTTTATCATCAAATAACTCATTAAAACCAAACTGATCAAACATCAGTGTGATAAGAACTGACTAAATGACTGAAACCATCTTTGACAGACGTTAATTAACGTCTACTTTGACTGTTTGAGTCTCGTCCATGTCCCATCTGCTAAAGTCGAGGAGGCTGCGTTTATGTGTTATACTGCAGCCACCAGGGGGCGATCCGTATTGGCTTTAGGAGCTGTCATGTCGCCTTATTTAATATATCTTCATTTTCAGTCTATGATCCAGATGTTTGATATCATGTTATGTTTAATCCGTGTGCAGGTATCCCCATGCTGAAGATCGTGTTCGAGGGCTATGAGCACCTCTCCCTGATCTCAGTTCCTCTGTTGATCTACCACCCGGCTCAGATCCTGCTCGGCTCCGTCCTCGTGCCGACCATCCGCAGCTGGATGACCACGCAGCAGAAGGTACGCGCTGGTCACCGGTGACGCCTCGGTGCGCTGGTTCAGAGCTCCTGATCGTTTAAGAGACAGAGGGCTGCATTCCAATACTTACCTTTTCACCTTGTCTCCTCTCCTACAGTCTAGTCTGTTGTTGAGATAGGGCCGCGTTCCAACACTACTGTCCTGTGAGTAGAGACCTGACTCGAACGTTTGAGTAATGTCTGATGTGATTCTGTGACGGTGTGTCCGGCAGCTTCCTGTGGGTTTTCTTATGGAAATTTAAAATCAATGTCATCTGAGTGAAACAGCGCCCCCTAGTGTCAGGAAAAACAACCTGCTGCTGGACTCACTGCTGCAGATTCACCAGCTTCACTTGAATCAAGCATCAGATGGGTTCAATTGGGTCTGGTGGTGTTTTTAATGACGATGCTTAAAGGGCCAGTTCACCCAAATTACTAAACTCATAATAATTTATGTCCGGCTCGACTCTTCAGGTCCACAGTCGACCAGGACCTTCTGATAAACAGTGCCTGAGTCATAATGAGTTCTTGTTTTTACGACTTTTGAATCATTTCAATTAAACATTCTGGTAAATAATTTGTTCGCCGTTCGTTCTTTTTACATCAGATTTTTTTATTTCCTGTCACTTTTAATTCTCACTTCTAATAAAATGTGGGGGAACCTTTAATTTTGACAGATACAATAATTCTACAGAACCTGGTGACGGTGGGAGATTCACTGATCATACTCTCTTTGAAAATTCTCACATTTCAGAATTTAAAACTAACGTTCCTCTTTCTCCTGCTCTTCTGCTTAAGATCTCACTCTCTGTCACTTTGTGCTTCGTCTCTCTCTCTGTTCAGGTGATGAAACAGCCGCCGCTCCAGCCCATCTGATGAGGAGCAAATCAGTGTTTTCATGGTTTTTGCACTGCGACACAAAGTAGACTATGGCGGAGGGAGACAGTATTCATCTGTGCCTTATAACAACCAATCAACAGAGACCTCAGCGTGGAGAAGGAAACGAGTTGCCTTGATTTTCTCCGTTTCTACGTGAATGAAAAACTCTTGTATTTCCATCTTTTATATATTTAAAAGAAGCTAAAGTACGTGATTTATTTTTATATGGAATACCCAAAAAGAAAACTTTTTTTTAAAATAAAAAACAGTGACTGCCAACGGGGACACGACGGGTGGAGTTACTGGGACCATTATTTTTTGTTTTCTTGCTATTTTTCTACAAATGTGAATGATTTCTGCTTTTATGAACTCCATATAATCAAACTAATGCTTGATGATCCGACTTTAAATGTACGGTAGAGTATTGACGGCTTGTTTTGATTGTTTTACACTTTCAGAAGTAAGTTTGTATTTGTTGGGAAGGAGCGGTCCTGTGGTGAAGGGATAATGTTGAACGAATGATCGATCCAAATAACGAAGGTACGACATACACACTGTTGTAGTGAATCTAATTTAACAACCAAAATATCATCGTTCTTCTCGCATCTATTCACATTCTTAGGTTTCTTTTCTTTCTTTTTTTTTTTTTTTACATTATTCACAAATGTACCTAAACTGTGAATATATATTAGTTCATTTCCACGTTATTTAGCGTACACCTCTGATTCTGACCAAGCAGGAAGTGGGAGTGTAGTTCATTCGAGTGAGAAAAGAGCAGGAAAAAGTTTGAAATTTGGTAAAACCACACAACATATATTTTTTAATTTGACTCCACATATGTCTATAAATAGATGTAACCCGGCTCTCCTTCTGAACGATGTATTGCTGCTGACATTCGTATAATTTTGTCATGGTGGTCTACGTATAAATATGTCTGTGGACGATGCACTGTTCGAAGTCTGAGTTAGTGACGTAGTCTTCCTGATATCATTTTCTTTATTCCGTCATCTGAAACCTTAAAATCCATTGTGAAGAGATGAATCTTCTGAAAACAGTCAGAGGTTGAGGATTCAAGAGAATCGGGAAGAATCTGAAATGTAGGCGGCGTTTCAGAAGTCAGGAACCACATTTTTAAGAGAACCACCCATTCAGCAGGGTAACGGTGAAGGTTTCCTGATAGAGATGTTCTCCAGTGTTTCTTCATAAAACTGACTCTACAGCACAAATGTCATTGTACTGGTCTTCATCCTGATGTGTCCAGTGACCGTTTACAGTGCGATTGTTGTTCCAGCTGTTTATTTTGAACATGGTGAGTTGGATGTGTGTGGGTCTGCTCTTCTACTTGTTTATTTAAAAAAAATCTATAAGGAAATAAAAACCTTGCATCCTATGATTTGTTGTGCTGATATCATCGCGCTCTTGCATGGACCAGATTTGTGTTACTTACATTTTTGTTGTCTGACCAAAAGGGGACGAGCACTGAGACTCACGAGGAAGTATTGGCAGCTCATTAAACCCACTGACCCAGCTTGTTTCTGACAGATGGTACTTCTGTCTCGTCATTTGATGAAGCAATGCTAAAATAAGCCTCCCCACCAGACCCTTGAGGCCTTGTGCTCTTTCGATCACAAAGTCAGACCCGTTGGATTTTAAATGACTAAGCACAGCAGTGACACCCAGGACAACGAACGGGATAGTGAAAATATATTTTATTATTCCAGGTGACATGACGATAAGTTTAAAGCTTTAATAATGCCTCCTGCTAAATCAGCTTGTATAACTGGAATTTCTACAAACAAGTTATGCATCATATACATCTACTGTGCATCTAGTGGAAAACTATACATCTTCAGCTTTCAAAAAAGTGTCCACCAAATGGTGTATGTCATCCTCGCCGTGTCGATACGTCAGGAGATTGAAATACTTGTTCTCTAGATGTGTCGGGAACATTTTCTTTCATTTACTAAAGAAATAATTCTTACTTTGCCTGAACCAAACATAACTAATATAACTCTGTCACCGTTACGATTATTTCTGTGGCTCTGCTCTGGAGAAGTATTTTAATATCTTGTCTGTCCATTTATACATACATGTATATTATTACATATGTCGCCTGTACTTCAGTCTCCAGGTGATGCCAGTATATCGTACTCTGCCAGAAGCACAAAGCTGTTCTCTCTGATTCTTCGGACTCTGACCAAATCCCCACACTCCTGGACGTGGATCAGCCCTCTCTCTCCTCTCTCATACTCTCTCTCTCTGTCGTTCAGTGTCACCTCTGTCCGTTTGCCGCAGGCCTGCCGGTACATGTACCTTACCCCAACCACCAGCACCATGCCTAAGCCAGCTGAGCAGCCCAGCAGCATGCCCAGCTCCCAGGCACTGTGTCTGGGGATGATGTCTGGATACTTCCCTTCTTTGTCTGGAGTCCCAGGGGGATTGGAAGGACGTTTTGGTTTGGTATCAGTTTTAGGAAGGTTTGTTTTCAACTCATACCCGAGATTTAGTTTGGAGTTTGGGTCAAGGTTTGGATGAGGTTCAGGATTTGCATGAACCACTGTTCTCTGTGTTGCTGGGGTGAGGTTGGGCTGAGGATCTGATCGGGCTAAGTGATTCTGAATCAGCAAACTCTGGCCCATGGTCAGCTTCTGGGAGGGCACAGGGGAGGGAGAGGACATGCGGGGGTTGTAGGGAGCGCGAAGGGGAGCAGGAGAGGGTCTTAGGTGAGGGGAGGACGTAGAAAACGAGGAACCCAGTGAGAATGAAGAAGATGTTACTGTCAAAGGAGGAGGTGAAGGTGAAACAGAGGAAATGGAAGAGGTGGATAAGTCTGTTGATGAAGTGGAGGGGAGAGCTGATGAGATGGCGGAGGAAGAGGGCGAGGAAAAGGTCGAACCTATGTTCAACTGCGAAGAGGAAAAGGGAGACGAGGAAGGATTAGTTGAGGCAACTGGGGGAAACAAGGGAGCTGGTGATGAGTAGTTGGAAGAGTTGGAGAACGGGACAGGATAAGGAAGGGAAGGTTGGACAGCGGGGAAATGAGGAGGTACAGAAATTGGAGAAGGAGACGGAAGAGCAGATAGTGCAGGAGCTGTTTTGGGTTTGTTTTTTACAGAGGAGGATGAGGAATGGGTTAACAATGTTGATCTTAATAATGGATGTGCTGTTACCTCGGTGGAACTTCTAGAGGGATAGAGAGGAGTGGTTGATCTAGGATGGATGAGAGCAGATGGAGGCAAACTAGGAGAGGAAGAAGAGGCTGAAGATTGAAGGGTAGACCCAGAAAATATAGGTGAAGGAGTGATTGAGGGAATAGCAAAAATGAGGGTAGTGGTTTTGATATTTGCTTGAGACTGATGATTTGTGACCTCCTTTCCCTCGTTTATCGCAAAGACTGTGTAAAACCTTGATGTGAGAAGTAAAGGGTTCGAAGATCTGGGAGCTGCTGAGGATTGAGTTTGCGTCGATTCAAAGGTGTCGTCCTGGGGTTCACCAGTTTGGGAATGTGACTGTGTTAGAGGAGAAATACTCGGAGCCTCAGATGGTGATTGGTCTGTCTGGGAGGTTTGAGTGGGGATAGTTTGGGGCAGGGTTTGGATATAGCTGTTCAGAGGCTGTGGTTGAGGTGGGCTCCTCAGGGGGGCAGTTGTTTGAAGCTGAGGGTAAGATGGACTGTTTTCAGGCTGAGATTTGAGTACATCACTCACAGACTTGTAGAGTTTGTTGGGTGAGAGAGTAGGGGGGGCCTGAGATAAGGTTGAAATGGTGTGGGACTGGAGAAAGGACTGGGGAAGGAGTTTAGATTGGGAGGTTTGAACCGGAAGGAAAGAATTAGATGAAGTTCGGGGATAGAGGGAAGATTTTAGGTCAGAATTCTGGATTGGTTCTGTTGGATTGTGGGTACTGACTCTTGGGGCATTTGTATTGCTGAAGCTGTGATTGGTCGAAGGTGTATATGCGGTGCTTTGGGTATTTACCATTTTTGTCAGAATGGACAGTTTTGGATCCTGTAACTTCATCCTCTCTTTTCTTTCCACATCAACATCTTTTAGAAGAGGGACGGAAGAAAGGGAACGAGGACTGGTTGAGGTTTGAACAGTGATGTCTGGTGAAACACTGGTAGTAAGTCTGGTTTCTGCAGCCTTCTCCTCTGTGGGGATTGGGGCTGTTGAAAAGCGGTTGGATTGGAAAATAGATCTTTTGAGGTCCTCAGTATGAGCAACAAAGCTCCCTGTGTCACTACCTGCTTCTTCTGTCCCAGCAGAGAGAGACCCTGAACTCTCACTGCCACTGGTAACATTTGGAAGAGCTCCTGACGACTTTGTGCTGTTCCTGTCATTAACTGCCTGGTTTGTCAGGTGGTCAGAGCCAATTGCAGAGCTGTTCGTCTCTAAGCTGGGACGCGTGACTGTTTCCAGAGACCTGTAGCTCCGGGTTCCACTGCCTCTTGGTAGACTGTGTCCTGTGGTGGTAGCAGGGTCGACTGTCTCTGTTAGTTGGATTGATGCGCTGTAGGCTCTGAGGTCTGTGAGGCGATAGGGTGAGAAAAAAGAAACTATCAGTCTCATTGAAGTGTAGACAGGAAGACAGAAAGAAGCCATTCTGTGTTTTGCTGAAGTTGAATTGTACGACTTATCATCACACAAGTTTGTTCACCTGGCAGAGCAGCAGCTTCATTTTCCTGCAGTGCAAAAGTTGTAGTTTCTCCATCAACCTTTGTGGTTTTGCTCCCACTCCAAGATCTGCGACTCCCATCATGCACCACTGCAGACTCAATACCTGCCCAATACACAAAGTACGACTGCACCACCGTGATGCTGGAATGACAAAGAGTTTTGTGTGTTGTTGAATAAAAGTGATAATATTGTTTTTAAAAAAAAAAAGAGGAGATATAAAATCGCAATATTGACGTTAGAACATCTGATGACATTCGTCTACATTTCCACAAATATTGGTGGACTGTACTTACTAGAACCGTATGTCACCCATGGGTGCATCAGGAGCTCGCCACACAAACGAAAGGTTTCTCTTCAGCTGTTTGTCAGAGTGGGTGAGGGTGTCACCGTCTGAGAGGCAGCGCAGGGTGTGAGTTCCAGGAGGAGTGAGCGTCCAGGAGCCTCCCATCACCATTGGGCCGACTCCTGTGGACCGGATGCCTGTTCCACCTCTAGCTCTGACCCCGACTCCAGCCCTGCCTCCAGCTCGGCCCCCGCCCCCCTCCACACTTCGAGCCTGGAGCAGGAAACCCATGAAGTCCCGAGAGCTTCGGACAGTTACTGAGGATACAGGTATGGATACTTTATTAATATAAGTTGTTGTAGTGTTTTTATTTACAATTTACTGTTGAGTTAAATAAAGAAATCAAGTGATGACAGCGTTTGAGGTGCCGACCATGCTGCATGACCTATACTGTAGCCAGCCAGCAGGGGGCAATCCAGGTGATTTGGCTTCACTTTTGAAAGCTGTCATGTCGCCCATTTATTTATTCCCAGTCTATGGATCAGACGGGCTATCCATCGACAGATCGAACTTATTAATTTATTGTGTCTTATTAATTAATTGTGTGTTAACGATGAGTTAGCGGACAGTTAATTAATACTTCAGGTAGACGTTAGTAGACATTAGTCAGAGTTAGAGGAGGAGTTAGGATTAATAACTAGCAAACTACTACCTGTAATTAATTGTCCAGGCAGGTAAGAGGAGGCGGATGTGCGCAGGCTGACGAAGCTGTGCTGCGGGTCCTGGGGTTGAGCACGAATGTGACCGGGAATCATTTCTTGACAGGAGGTGTGGCTGGCACCGCGGGAGAACGACAGGGTGGACGGAGCCAACGAGAATAAGACCACACCCACCCCGAAGCAGAGGAGGGTAGACGGCATCTTTAAACACAAATGTTTTTATTTTATTTCATATTAGCACAAATATGAAGATCAACTTCAACATTCATTTCTTTTACCACATTTTCACATTCATATTACATTTTTGAGAGGACTCATGATTGGACGAGCCTGTGTCTTCAAGAGACTGCAAATGATGTCACCAACACAAGATGGCAGTGTTCGTATCAAAGATATTTTGGCTTCATTGTTGTACAGTTTTTGTACGATCTTGTCACATGCATGTGCATTAGCGCCATCTACTGAGTTTTCTGTCCATTTAATAAGCTACATTATTGACTCACCACAAAAGTCAACATCACAACTCACTGGAATTTATCTTCACAGGTAAAACGTTTGGTGTTGTATAAATAAACTCTGTCTCCAGTGCAACACTGGGGTCATTGTGTTTTTTAAAGTGTTTTCATGATAATGAAGATGCACAGATACAGGACAGGGTGCAGCCAGCGTGTCCTGTTATCATAGGACATCCTATAACGTCATCAGACCACATGCAGTGTTGGTTTAACCTACAGAATATCACCACTGATAATCTCACTGTTAAAACACCTGTGCACATTCAGGTTCTCGTTGGTGAATCATACAAACATTTAACTAACGACACCTGTGTTTACTCATGATGGTGTGGATCCATTCTAATCAAATACAAACGAAAGATTACAGAGAGAAGACTCATAAGAGAATAACACATGAAAGACACAAATAATGTTTAGAACTCAGGGGATTAAGAATATATTTGTATAAATGACATAAACAGATGTTTGAAATGTCAGATCTAATGACCCTGTTTGGGTTTTGGTTTTGTTGCCGTCATGTCCAGTCAGAACATCCTCATTAATCATCAGATAATTATCAGTTATTATCCTCTGAATAATGATTTCACACTCGGACAAACGAGAGTGAGGATGAATTTATCCCTGAGCATCCTTACCTCATGTAGCAGTGATCGTCAGGACGTCCAGAAAATCACTTGAAGCTCTTTCTCTTCTTCTTCTTTAATTTTTACAGTCCTGTGGTTGAGCTTTGTTTAAAACCCCGCTGACTGTTTGAATCCCAACAGAGATCAGTGAGAGTGACTTTAAAGTTGGTTTGAAGCTTGTGAGTGAGGGGGGAGGGGGGGCTGAAGGTTTTGATCCAGGATGTGGAGGGAGGGGGGTCTCATCCCTAAGTCCATCACAAATAAGTTAATTACAGGCTGTAATCATTACTTGTAGATGCTTTAGAGGTTGGAGGTTGCAAGGTTGTGATAATATTCCTCCAGGAATACGTTATTTTATATAAACGTAAGAAATGAAACTGATTTACATTATATTCACAAATAAAATGTGTAAAAGCAGCATATTCACACTTGTTACTGTTTTTCTAAACTCTTTGTGATATTTAATTAAAGTTCTTTGGGAGTTGAACACGTGTACATAAAAACAAATGAAGTTATTTAAACCATATAATTCACTAATGACTCTCCTCTTTTCTCGTGGAGGGTTTTCTTTGAGATTAGGAACACACAGACACACACACCACACACACACACACACACACACACACACACAGACACACAGACACAGACACAGACACACACGCACACACACGCACACAAACAGGATGTGGAGCAGCTGTAGCCGCCTCCCTCCAGGATCCTTTGTGTTCTCACACACAGAACCTCTCAGGAACATGTGTGAACTTCAGTTCAGGTCTGAAAACAGGACTCAGGTTTTTATATACAGTCACCGATCCTCTTAATATACAGTCACTACTGGTGTTTATGTACAGTCACTGATGGTTTTTATACAGTAACATGTGCTTGTGCTGCAGAGGCTGTGACGTTGATGAGAGCTGATGAAGAGGAGCAGGTCGGAGCAGCTGGTGAAGATGAGTCACACTCTTTTCTTTCTTTTTTTTTTTTTTACAGTTGAGCTGCTGGTGAATGCTTCTTTTTTTAAATTCTCTCTTCATTGAATTTTTTTAATAAAGAAATTGCGCATTGGTCCAAATATTCAAATGACAATTTTCTTCTCACGCTCAAAGGCCCGAGAATTTTCTGTTTTATAAATTTGCAAAAATATAACACAGATTCAAAATATACGATAATCAACAGGTAACGTATGAAAAATGAAACACACACTTTAAACAGTGTCTGAACAGAACTGGGGTGTGTCTCTTGATATTATCCAAGTTGTCACTGCGTTTATTTCACTAATTTTAATTTTAATATTTCTGTGTTACTGCCGAACACTGAGAGTGAACGATAAAACAATGACAACAAAACAAAATACACGTGAAGGTGAGAGATGCTCTACGTTCACTCCACAGCTCAGCCTTTCAGTTGTCTTTGTCTCCCCCTACAGGCTGAGTTAAGACACTGCACCATTCAACATGAATAGAGCTGCAAAATACTACTGCAGTATTTGACTGGGTACTACTGATACCAAGCAGACACCCAGGGAGTCATGCACAGCACTAAGTCCGCCATCTCCTCCGGCTTCATTCTTAGTTTACATATTTTGTCGTTGCTAACACTACTACTTTGATTACTACTGTACTTGTACTGCTTCACTATTACCACGAAAAGACTAGTACTTCTAAATTCACACTGATACCATTAATAATGAAATGGCAATAAGGCGTCTTTCAGACCCGCGCTGAACTGTGGAGATCCTCCTGACGTATAGTGTAAAGTATAAAGCACAGCAGGAGAACCAACGGGAGCGAGTGGGGGAATGGGGGAGTGGGGCAGTGGGGGAGTCATATGTGACTATGGAAACAAACACATTTCTCCGGATGAGAAAGCAGGGCCACACACACGGAGAACAAACTGATGAATGTTTTTCTGCGTGAACGTGTCCGAGCGGAGAATCTCCTGCTTCATGAGCGAACTCCAGAGAAAGTCCAGACCCGGTTGTGTTGACGTCCTCCGGAGTTCGTGTCTGAAAACGACCTGAGTTACACAAAAAAAACGAATTCATCCAACTTCTGCTGGAACGTTTCAAAATGTTTATTGTGTTGTGACCCGACAATTTCGGAAAAATGTTGAAATTTGGTTCAAATGATTTAGTTATTGTTCTGATCACTTGTTATCTGAACAATAACTAAATCTGATCCCTCAGGATTTGTTTTGGGGGATTTGGCAGAAACACGGACTCAGAGATGAGATTAGATTTTGTCGATCACTGCAACTTCACATATTTGAACAGAACTGAAGTTTATTCAATTAGTTCTGGTGTCAGTTTGGTCTCCGACACCAGATTTTTTTGCCCCAGGGGCCTCGAAGGAGCTTCATCCGGCCCTGGAGATTCTAGATTCTTGGGTTTCTTCCGGTTTCTAATCGGTTGGTGGAAATTTAACTTTATTAGCGGACGGTTTTAATTCTGCGGGTTCAGTGCGGGTACAGGCGCGTGTGCCTGGGATCCCCCCCCCCGTCGTGTCCTGCCCTTGTGCGTTGATCCGGCGCGTGGACAGGGACACACTGCATCACACACACACACACACACACACACACACACACACACACACACACACACACACACACACACACACTGGAAGAGGAGGCGGAAACCTCCATCTGCCCTGCTCGGTGACCGACCCGTCATCCTCGGGTTCGGGGAAGAAACGGACCGGTTCCATTTTTTCACCTCTTTTACTTTCTCTCCATCAACGACACCGGAGCCGTGATGTCAGAGAACCGGGAGGAGAAGAGGAGGAGGTGGAACATGGAGCAAATCTCCGGTCTACATCCAGGCTGTGCCCCGGACTGCACCACCACCGCCGCCGCCACCACCTGCCCTCCCGGTACCGGTAAGTCACGGAGAGGAGATGATCCCGGAGAGAAGCGTGCGGTCCCGGTTGAGCGCGTGTTGTCGCTGACGGTGTCCGGTGGTCGATGCTAACTGACCCGTGAGCCAGACTCCGGAGGTCCTGTGAGGTCGGGTTACCGTTCAGCCATGTTGCAGGAGGGGAGGGGGGGGGGGGGGGGGGGGGGGAGATAACGGCGGGGCTCCTGACACCTGCCCTCATTCCCGGTAACCGGAGACAATCACGGTAGATTTCCTCTAAATTAGCCGGAGTCAGCGGCTCCACCGTCGTCCCGCAGCGGGGGGTGACTTTGTGACTCGCCGCGGCCGTTCAGCCATGTTGAGGGGGGAGGAGAAGTAGCTAACGGCGGAGCTCCGGGGGCTCTGACACCGACCGACCGACACCGGGGGAGCCGAGGAGGGAGGGAGGCAGCCGGGTAGAGGTTAGTGAGAGGAGGGGGGGGGGGTCTCATGGAGGAAACTGGTGCCCGGTCATTGTCGCCTCTCGGTCGGATGCGGCGGCGGCGGGAGCTCGCACCGTGTCGCCTGGAGACGGAGGCAGGAGGCAGGAGGCTGGAGGCTGGGGTCGATGAGGGTAGAGAGTGAACCGAGGCCACGATCATCATCTTTTATTCATCTTTTATTTAAATGTACGATCATTTCAGACCAAATAAGTTTCAACTTCCATCTTATATATTTTTTTTAATCTAATGTTTGATGAGTTCTCATCAGTAAAAAAATATGATTTCCTCTTATTCGGTGTTTTATAAATGTTCCTGTGATCAACAGATGATTAAGTGACAAATCACTGCAGCTCTAATTTTCATTCTTTTCTCTCCTCAGCTTATGTAATAAACCGACATTCACAATATCCAGACACAATCTGCCAATTGATTCAGAATTTAATTTAATTTTCATATTCTTCTTATTTTTCCTTTTGTATTGTTATATTCCATAACATCAACCTGCATGTTTTAAAAGACATTTTAATTCTATGGTTTGAACATTTATAGTAAACTCATAAGTTTTTTTTTAACAGGTGGCTGTTATTAACTTGAACCTGCTAAATTTGGTTCAATTAGATGTTTTAGTTCTCTAACATAAGTACAGGGGATACTTCTTCTACGATGCAATAAGAAGTACCAGTTATTGTATTTATTGGTATTCCATATTTATTTAATATTATTATTCTTGATTTTTTTTTTACAGGTGGCTATAATTAATTTAGATTTTTTAATTCTATCTTTCAAACAAGCAATACATCTTCTAAAATAAAATATTAAATAATAATTAATGTCTGTATTTTTTTTTTTTTTACAGTTGAAGTGTTATTTGTGCAGCCACAATTACATTGACTTATAAACATGTTCGGATAAGAAATAGAGCTGATGTGTTAATCGTTCCATTTGTGTCGAGGACAGGAAGTGATCATGGCTAACGGTTGTTGGCAGGTGGAAGTGATTATTGATGATTATTGATCATAATTGACGATTGATTGGTGAGAAGGTCAGGGCAGGAGTCGGCACAGCAGGGTCCGTTACCATAGCGATAACGTTGGATGATGTGTGCCCTTATTATTGGACCTTTTCAATTCAATAATTTATTCATTCACAGATTCACTTTGTTCATGTTCCTTCTTTTTTTCTTTTTCTCTCCTTTGCCTCGTCCCTTCATCTTCCCCATCCCTCTGTCTGTCTGTCTCTCTCTCTCTCTCTCTCTCTCTCTCTCTGTCTCCATTCTTCCCTGTCCTCTCTCACCCTTCGTTCTCGACGCCTCTCTTCCTCTCTCAATCCATCTACTTTATCTCCCTCCCCCCTCGTTCATGCCCCTTCTCTCTCTCTCTCTCTCTTTCAGGTCAATGAGAGGCAGCAGCAGCTCGGTCTGAAGAGCAAGTCCTCCCTCGTTTTCTCTCCTTTACCTCCTCCCTCTTTCTTCTATCATGCTCTCCTCACTTCCATATGATGAAGAACACAGTTGTCTTATTTTAGCAACCCTACCTTCCTCCTCCTCTTCCTCCTCCTCTTCTTCCTCCTCTTCCTTCTCTCTTGCCCTCCTCTCTCTTGAGTTTTGACTCCCTCTCTTTTTACAAACACACACACACACACACTCACACGCTGGAAAATGAAGCGTGGGTCGAGTGTGTTGCAGCCTCCCTCTGATGCAGCCAAACGACACACACACCCTGCAAACGCACACACACAGACACACACCAGTGGTAGTGTTGGTGGTGATGCTCGTTCACTGAGTGTGTCCAACACACATGCTGAACACACACAGGACACACACACCGAAGGTTCAAGCCCTTTCCCAGCAGCCACCTCTCTGTTCAGCCCTGATGTCAGCACCAAGATGGCGTCCGACCTCCTCATCAAACTGTCAGGTAGCACTGCATCACTAATCTTTTGATTAATCAATTTCTCACTGTTATGTAAAAAAGAGTCTCACAAAGAACCAACGTCTTCAAATACTCAAAAATATATATAATATAACTCCCTGTATATACAGACGATCAGTGACTGTATATACAGACGATCACTGTAAAGTTATAGAATGATTCATTCAGAATTCACGTGTTTGTGCGTCCACATACTTTTGTAATCTATATGAATGTCATTGTTAGTGAACTTTTCTCTTCAGAGGCCACCCAGAAGGCCCAGGTGCATCCTGGGAGCCTAATGGAGGCGGAGCCTCAGCGGCGGGAGGCTCTGCTGGAGGTGCGTGGCGGGCAGCAGGACGAGCCCGGCCTCGCTCTCTCACCAGACGGCCCTGGGGCGAGTCCTGAGCCGCCGTCTCTCACGCACACACCCGATGGCAATGCCACCACGGACACGCTGGCTTCAGACCTGCTGAGGAAACTGGCAGGTACAGTGTGTGTGTGTGTGTGTGTGTGTGTGTGTGTGTTGCTCTGAAGTCATAGAAAGACAATTTGCTGTAGAATGAATTGTTTAGTATGAAAGTGATGGTTCAGGACTTCACAAACTGACAGATTTCCCACCAATCACAGAGCGCCAGGAAGTGAACTGCCATGACGTCAGGGTCAAAGAAGAAGAAGAGCCAATGGAAGTTGACACAAGGGTTGTCTCTGACCTCATCCGTGATCGACCAGTCACAGAAGAGATGACCTCATCTTCCCCAAAGATGGTGAACCACCATCTCGTCATCAAATCAGAAGACCAGGGTCTCCATGGAAATGAGCATCCCGAAGGCAAAGTGGCCGAACAGTGTCTCGTAGGCCTTAAGGTGGAAGACAGTTTCTTCACTGAAGGCTCCGGCTCCAAGACGGGTGATGGCGTTGCCTCTGGTTCCAACACGTTTCCGTTTCGCGGCGTCTCTGGGACCAAGATGACAGAACAGCTTCTCTCTGGAGCCAAGATGGAGGACCAGTTTCTCTTTAAAGCAAAACTTGCAGAGCGGCCTTTCTTCTCAGCAAAGTTTCTCTCCGGAGTCAAGATGAAGGACGAGTTTTATTCAGGTGTCAAAATGGAGAACCAGCTTCTCTCTGAGGCCGGGGTGATGGACCCGGTGTTTTCCAGAGCAAAAACAGATGAGCAGCTTTTCTTTGGAGCCAAGATGGAGGACCAGTGCCTCAGGGCCGTGCTATGGCAGGACATGTCGGTAAACCTGGCGTCCACGCTGCTGCACCAGCTCTCAGGTATCACACACAAACACGATCACACTCTCACGATTCAGTTTCACAAATATTTTCAACAAGGTTTTTACAGTGAGGTTTGTTAATTGGAACTTAAAACCTTCAGCCACCAGGGGGCGATGAATATGTCTTTTCAGTTTGTTTTTACACCAAGTTCATTCCATGCATTTGTGTTTCTGCAGAGAGGGTCAGTAAATCCAACAGTCAGCTGGTGGAGAGGTCGACTCCGCCCATTAGAAGCAGGTAATAAGTCACTTCCTGTCGTTGATCAGCGTGACCGTGTGGACACGTTGACCTCTGACCTCTGACAATTTACATGTGTTTCTACAGTCCCGCTTTGAAGCTGAATGGTGACCCACTCCGTTCTTCGTCACTTGTGAGAACCCAGGAACCTCCACATGGTAATTTACTGTACAACACACACACACACACACACACACACACACACACACACACGTAAACACTCTCACGTAAACACACACATCAACACACACTGTAGCTACATCACCATCAGTGTGTGAGCGTGCTCAGCGGCTCCTGTTAGCTTGAGGAGTCTCTTTTTTTATTCATATACTGAGGCCGTGTTATGTTTATCATTGATTTGCTGCCTCACCAATCCCAGTGTAATACGCAATAATGAAAAATGACGCTGTCAGTCAGAGCGTGAGGATTAAAGGCTCAACACAACCACTGATCCAACACGATGCACTTCAGCTGCAAAGGACGAGGCCGCTACACTTTTTCCCATTGTCATCAAAACCCCACAAGACCAACAACAGTAATGATTATTTCTATGAAACCGGTAAAAAGCCAGAGTTACAAGGTGCCTGTAATGTTTTGTATTCAAACTTAAATGTATGAAACCGACTTTGTTGTGTGATTTATTATTTATTATTGAAATATTCATCTAATTGCAGTTTCTGCCTATAGATGAAGCTTCACAGATTATTATTATTTTATTTTTATTCTCTGCACATCATTCAATTTTTAATGTCCTTATTATTATGACGGTTTACTTTCAGAGTGCTGTTTACGTCTCTGTTATAGATTTATGCAGCCCTTAACGTTTATGGCAGAGACCTTAGTAAACACTCACACGTCTCTACCTATGATGACTTCCACAGGGACTCATCATTAGTCGATTTTTGGAGCGCGGATAAAAAAGAGAAAAGTATGACGATGGAAGAATTTTTTCATGAATCGCTTATCGGAAATATAAACACTTTCTTTTTTGTTCTCACAGAAAAGCCAACCGGCCTCAGCAGAGATCAGACTGCAGGTTACTTCTACAGGTAACGTACAGAAGGTTTTCTTACGGACAGAGAATCACAAACGTTTGAAACATTTGTCAGTTTTTGAGATTTTTTAAGTGGAACAACTCGTCGTCCTAATGATGAGTAGGAAATAAAAACATTATTATTAGATTGTTATTTAAGGATTTAACCTCATGTCGACATCCGGAGTGAACGAGGTTGTCTTCACATGATGTTTAGGCATTTGTATGATCTGAAAAGTCGAGATACTTTTGAATGAGGTCGTGTGCTCGAAGGAGAGTAAACATTTGTAATGCTTGGTTTCAAAAGGTTTTAGAATTAGCAGCAGTCAATCATCAAGGTCGTCTCACATGGAAAGGATCAAACATCTGTTGCCATGGCTACCGTGACACATGCTGTGTGTCACCCCCAGGTGTCATGTGTGCGGGTTTGAGATGGAGGGGCGCGTCCTTTTCCAGAGTCACATGACAGAGCACCGCCAATGGGAGCACGGCTCCTTCTCGCTGCACTGCTGCGTGTGCGACCACTCGACCAATCAGGAGGCAGAGATGAGGGCTCACGCCGACACGCACCTACACAGCGACTCAGGAGTCAGCGGAGACGTGAGGTGGTTGATTTTTATTTTATTTTTCAGTATCAGCTTCGTTCACTGTTTGTTGTTTCTTTTCGTTTGTTCTTTTTCTGTTTTTCCCCTTTTTTTTTTTTAGTCCCAGTTTTAGACCTCTGTGTTTTCCTCTGAATGTCTGTGTGTGTGTGTGTGTGTGTGTGTGTGTGTG